AGAATTGCTGATCTTCTTTTAATAATTTTGCATTTTGGGTTAAATTTTCATGGCAGACTATCCAGAGTTAGAATCCCGGGCCAAGAAAGCTGCGGAGGAATCCGGAACCGAGTGCACGTGGAACGAGACCCATTTCCGAGCGGCCGATGAAGAAGATGACGAGATCATATGGCTGTCTCTAGAAAACGAGAACGCAATACACGGCAACAGGGACTGGGCCGTAAAGCTGGGAATCAACCTCTTCTACAGCGCCAGCCTCAGCCGATCCCCACTCTATTCCAAACAGATGCATTACAACTCGGTCATCTACAAGGCCTTCGGACGAAAATCCCACACAGACACCTCACAGCAAGTGAAGGGCGGCAGGCAGAAAAAGATCGTCGTTGCCGGAAAATGGTGCGGCAAAGTCTGGATGTCCAATCAAGCCCATCCTCTGCTCGTCAACAATGATGATGATAATCACGACCCGGGCTCGGGGATTGATTTCGAGCGCGAGACGGGCCTTCAGGCCGGGCCTGGGCGGGCTAAAAAAATCAAAGATGAATCCCCTTTACTCTTTTCGCTCGCCAGCTGTCACAACAAGCAAGTCAAGCGAAAGCGGGGTTCTAGAAGGCCCAAGGAGGAAAGTCCTGTTCCGGAAGGTCCCGACGAATCTTTCTCCGAAAAAGACATCGACTCGTGCGAGGAAGAAATTAAGAGCGGCAAGAGCAAAAGGAAGCTGCCGAGGAGCGAGGCGAAAAAACGGGCTTTCGGGTCGTTAAACGGGCCCGAAGAAGGATTCTCGCTCGGGAGCAGCTGCAAGAGCAAACGTGGGGCAAGAAGGCCACCGGCGAAGAAGGACACAGCCACAAAAAATCAAAAGAGAAGCAAGAAGGAGCACGTGGACCCGCCCACGGACGATTATGAAGACGACAATGAGCCTGAAGGTGGGCCCAGCACGCGGCTGAGAACTAGGCCCAACAAGCCCACTCCTAAAGCTTCAAAGCTGAAGGCGAGTACTAAAGTACCCGGGCCCAAGCTGAGTAATAAACCAAAGAAGAGTATTATTAACAAGTCGAAAGTTAGATATGAGGAGGAAGAGTACGAGTGTGACATGGAGGGTTGCATGATGAGGTTCGGGTCAAAGCACGAGCTTTCACTACACCAAAAGAACGTGTGCCCGGTCAAAGGGTGTGGCAAGACTTTCTTCTCCCATAAGTATCTTATCCAGCACAGGCGAGTCCATGTGGACGAGCGCCCGCTTAAGTGTCCATGGAAAGGCTGCAGGATGACATTTAAGTGGGCTTGGGCCAGGACAGAGCATATTCGGGTCCATACTGGGGCCCGGCCTTATATCTGCACTGTGGCTGGGTGTGGACAGACTTTCAGGTTCGTGTCGGATTTTAGCCGTCACAAGCGCAAGACGGGCCATGCTCCAAAGAGAGCAAGAGGGGGATGAGGTGTATTGACAGAGGACAGAAGATGAAAATGAGAAAGAAAACAATGTGTAGGTCTAGACAGACTCTTTTAGCTTAAATCTGATAATTTTCTGATTGGGGTGGGGCAATTCATCAACGTAACTAGGCCATTTGTTTTTTAATGTTGTAAGGGAAAAGAGTGTTTGTATTGTCTGCCAAAGCAGAAAAAAGATCTAATGTGCATGATTTTATCTTTGACTATTTTGTGGTTTCTTATTGTTATTGCTAAATTGCTTCACATTTTTGTGTCTCATTTACTCTCAGTATAAGTATGATATTCGGTCTGGCCATGTGGGCTAATCTAATGGGCATGGTGTTTCAGTTGTTCTGGGCCTGTTTTTACCACGGCCCAATAAGGATCACACATTTTGGCCCATCCATTTGAGCCCATGAGCCCTCCTCACTTGAATTGGGGTCGGATCTTCTTAGGGATGTAAATGGGTCGGGCCGGGTGCGGGTTTTGACATACCCGTACCCGACCCGCCGGCAAAAAAATGCACCCATACCCGGCCCGCTACCCGATTAATCACCACGGGTTCGGGTTGGGTTTTACCCGTCGGGTAATTGGGTACCCGCCGGGTAAACGGGTACCCAAATTGTTGCAGTCAATTGGGTTTGATCGGGTTATTTTTACCCGCTTACCCGTCACCCGAGTACCCTGAACCCAACCCGACCCGACCCTGTGCCTAAAAAAAAAAGCAAATGCATTCAAATTGCCAGCTCGACACCATATTAAATATATTTCAAATTATATTGAAATATATAATAATTAAAATACATGATTATAAAACATAAGATTGAAATTAATTTTTGCTTTTGTTAAAAAATATATAATAAAATGTACTTTTAAATTCAAATTAACAATATAATACTTATTTGAAATGATATAGCGAGAGATATCTATCACTGAGAAAAAAAAATAGTTGTCTAAATTTAACACATAACTTATATGCGTTATAAAGAATGTTATCATCTCTTTCGCATATCATACACTATTTTTACTTCTCACGAATTCCCAATTATACTCCAAATAAGTAGCATTATAAATTTGTACACATTATTTTTACACAGATAATATTTGTAAAGATATAAATATATTGAATACACTATACACGTATAAACTTATTTATCAAGTTCATTATTATTTATTATATATATGCTATTTTCAATAATTAGATCTATTCTTTAATATAAAAACTATGAATTCATCACATTTATATATGTGGATAGGTTATTTGCTTGCATAGATTTTCATTTTTCAAGTACAGGTAATAGAGTAACAGACTAACAGGTTTGCTTTTTTCATTTTTTATTTTTGATTTTCCTTCTCTCCTTTTTCATTTCGTGATTCGTCCTAAATTATATGAATGATCTGTTCCATCTTCATTCTTCAATCTTCAATATCTATGAAAATTTTAAAATACTTTGATTACTAAATTATTATTTTTTGAAACATAAATTTTTTGTATATCTATATATATATATAGTTATTAAGTGTGCGGGTAATCGGGGCGGGTAAAAGTATGGGTCGGGTAAAAAACCCCGCCGGGTAAATGGGTCGGGTAATCGGGTCGGGTGGTGGGTTTTTTCATTGAACCCATACCCGACCCGACCCGGTGTGCGGGTAAGAAGGAAAAACCCATGTACGACCCGCGACCCGGTATTTTCGGGTTAATAGTTTTGCAACTATATAAACAAACTTAAAGATAACTCCATTTCTTGAATAAATAAATAATAGTGCAAATTCCGTGGTCGGCTATCCCCACTTCTAAAATCATCACATCAATTCCTTTGGTAATGATCATTACACTTCAAGAATGATGAAACAAGTTTATGTAAGTATATAAATAGATTTAAAATGACAACAACTTGCTCAACTTGGTGAGAAGCTTATGGCTGAGTTCTTGGTAACATGATAATGTTAAAGACTTGAACTATATATGATAAAGTCCACATGCAGACTTTTTTCTTTAGAAAACAACCTCGTCCATCATTTGGCTAAGATAAATGTTGCAATTATGATAAATGTTGTAATAAAAATGCACTTCATAAAGTGTTACGTTACAAATGCAAGTGTCTTGTTGTGCTACAAAACGAGAATTACCAAGCTTTAAAGAGAATAATCAAATTCGAGCTCGGGTACATATATGAACTTTTATCAGGCTTTGAACTCGACTTGTTACCAAGCTTTAATGATCTTAACTCGACCCATTAAGAGCTGAATAATGATAAAAAATAATAATAATAATAAAAAATTGCGTAAAATTTTTTATTTCTTAAGTCTAACAAATCTTAAATGAGTTCACGAACAGCTCATTTAATTTGACATCTCAAGATGAAGTACAATCAACACAAAAGAGTCTTGCATTTCACTTAATTACCTGGTTGGAAATGTCTAGATATGACCTAAAATCTATTCATCGCCTTGTTACAAACGCATGATTAGTTAATTTCCCCAATAGCCATAGACATATATATTGACATTTAGATCGAGTGATTCTCAAATAAGAAACCTTAACTGACGTACAAAGTGCTTAATTAACAACTGGCATTAAGCTTCACAACAAAAAATAAGTTTTTTAATGGAATAGTGTGTAAAAGAAAATGCAGGTATATATTGGAGTGTAAAAAAAATTCGCCCTATAATTATTGTGTTTCCCAAAAACCTTTTGATTCGAATTCTTATCTCTTGCTCAATCTGATCGTGTTCATATTTAATATATATCTAACTGCGTTCACACTATTGTGTTCACACTAAGTTTGTATTAAAATAATATTTAAAATAAAATGATTAAAATTGATTTGATGTAAAAGTAAGGGACATATGATTGGAAAGGATAGGTAATTAAAATTATGTGAGTGGATAAATAGTGGATTAAAATTGATGTGGTGTATAAGGATGATTAATTGATATTATTTAATTATATTGATAATATTGAGGATAATATAGTTGAGTTAGATTTTGAATTAAGATTAGACATTTTTTTTTTTTTNCATTTTTTTTTTTTTTTGGATAAATTGGCAATTAAACAAGCAAGTCCTAAGTATTTTTTAGCAAGTGTCCAGCTCTGTTACCCGCAGACTATATAAGAGATCACTAATTCGTTTTCATGAGACATTATTAAGAATCACATTAATTAGACCAAATCAACACAAAGACTACATCTATTTATACTACACACACTATTTGTTAATCTATTGTTGTTTGTGTGACTAATTAATTATTCAATAATGAAGGGCTGTGAAGGTTTCAACTTACCGGCGGCCTGGATTGTGGTGGTGCTCAGCCTGTACGTGGGGCGGATGCAGGCGGCGGTGAGCCTGCCGCCGGAAGCCCGGCAGTTGAGGCGGCAGTTTTACAAGAAGCTCAACACGTGTGCGCCCGTGGAGCCGTTTGTTAGGCATCAAGTGGAGCTTTGGTGGGGCCGAGATAAGACCATCACGGCCAAGCTGCTTAAGCTGCTCTATGCTGATTGCATGGTTAATGTGAGTATATATGAAATTTTAAAATTTTTTTAAAATATGCATGGTATTTCGGCAGTACGTATGTAAACCTATTGAAAAAGTATGATTATCTAACGATTATGCAGCCTGAAAATGTATAGTTATCTAACGATTATACAGCCTGACTGTAGCATTACTGCAAACTAAATCGATTAGTTTGAGTTATTATAATTATGATTTCTTTTTTGGTACTGTTTAGATCTCTTCTTATTTAATAGCAGTTTACGTTTTTGTTATTATCTCTTCTTGGGGAGATCATATTTTTGTGTAGTTCATAAATGAATAGATTTTTTTTTATTTAGCGTTTAATGCCGAAAATAAAAAGAAAAAACGAAAAAAGAGAAAGTGAAATAATCTTTGACACATATTGATTAATTTGTTGTTTTTTAACTTTTAATCTTCATTTCTTCCATGCAAAGGCATCTTTCTTAATGCAATAGGATATACAAAGCGCAGATTTATGTGCATGAGCAGTGTCTCAATATGTGAAATCACATGTTTGCATTAAATGCGGTAAATCCTATGCACGCACACA